GCTCAGTCATTAAGCGTCTGCCTTCAGCTCAGGTCATGGTCCCAGGGTCCTGGGATCGAGCCCCGCATCGGGCTCCCTGCTCAGCGGGAAGCCTGATTCTCCCTCTCCCACTCCCCCTGCTTGTGTTCCCTCTCTCGCTGTGCTCACTCTGTCAAATAAATAAAATCTTTAAAAAACATATATATATATCTGCAGGGAGGACATACTACTTTTATAATCAGCAAAAAAGAAAGTAAAACTTTGTTTGGAAATTCTTACATAAAGCATTAGTAGGATTGAAAAATAAGAAGGTATATCATTGATTATCTTTCTCCCTTCTAGAAAAGATCTCGTTCGGGTAGAAGCCACAGTCATTGAAAAGACAGAATCATGGCCAAAAATCAATATGAGATTTCAGAAAAGGAAAAACTACAAGAGGAAGAAAGGTAAGTTAGAGAAAGTGTGGCAGGCGCCGTGTCCCCGCCCTGCTTCATGAACCGCTGGTCCTGCGGCTGCTAGGGGCCTGGGGCCGCTGGGGTGCAGGGGCCACAGACACCTGGGAGAGAGCTCTGCTCCGGTCCCCTGGGTCTGATGGGGAGGGGCAGATGGAGGTCACTCTTAACCAGGCCAAGGGTGCGGAGGGAGAGGGCCCCGGGAGCCTCCGGTGCTGCCCCCGGGCTGCGGCTCAGCCGGTCGCTGCGGCAAGGCAGACATTCGCCTTCACTGCAAGCCGACACCGCGTGCCCCAGGAGACACGGAGGGGGACACCAGAGGTGGCTCTCCCGTCCCGCACAAAGACTGGACAAAGAAAGGGACGTGCTGTGGGGTCCTCTCAGCAGAACGTCGCTCAGCAGCACGTGCTAAGTGAACTGCCCCTCTACACGGGAACGGGAACGAATCTTCGATTCTAGTGGGGCCTGAGCAACACCCGACCTTGTGCCTCTGGGTACATATATCCGTCCGCACACATTTACACGCATGCGTGTGTGATGGAACATGGGAAGGGGAGGAGAGGGAGCTCGTCTGCAAAGTCTCCAGGGGAGCAGGGAGGCTGGAGGATCGGGGGGCTGTTGGTTGATAGAGAAGGCCAAAAATCAATATGAGATTTCAAAGGGGGAGCCAGGGGTGCCTGAGGGGGGGCGGGATGAGGAGTGTGGGCTTCGGCGCGCCGGCGATGGGATGCCTCAGACAGGAGGGCCCTCCTCCCAGCTCGGTCAGGGCGAAGGGCCAGGCAGCAGTGTGGCTTGGTGATGAAGTGAGCGTCCATCTGCTGGCCTCGCTGCTGGGCAGGAAGTCTAGGGGTCTGCTGGGGACCGCGCGGGGGTCGGTTTGCAGGTGGGAAGGGGTGGAGGTGGGGTCAGGAGTCAGAGAGGCGAAGAAACAAAGCCTGCCGTGGACGAGAGGGAGCTGCATGACGTGGTTCTGGAGGCAAGGTGGGCGCGGACCAGGGGCAGCGACCACCTGAGCCGCATGGGGAGGGGGTGGCCCCGGCGTGGTCTCAGGAGACCCGGAGTGGAGCTGCAGGAGCAGCAGTGAATCTGAGGGGCGACTTCACAGCAGAGGCCTCACCCGTGGGTGCCCCTGTGGGGGCTCATGACCCGTGCGTGAGGGAGCAGAGGAGCCCTGGGGTGGGCTCAGCAGTCAGTTAGCAGGAAAAGGAAAAGAAGCTTCGTTCGGTGGCGTTTTGGTGCCCGCTGCAGGGGTGTCACAGAAGGGTGTGGTGCGAGGGGTCGGGAAGGTGAGGGCATTTCCTGGGTAAGGGCAGGAGCCCTGGGTTTCCCTGACCAGCCTCCTGGGGTAGGGGCGGGCTCCGCACATCCAGGATGGAGGGCCTCGGGGCACATGGGGTCACAGGAGGCCCCCATCAGCTATCACTGCCCACTTTCTGCCCTTCCACCGTGGAGGGGCGCCCAGCCCAGGCCTGGCCTGCGCTCTCTCCACTCTTCTTGTCCCCCACATGTTACCCTTCTTTGTTCTAATCCTCGGCCCCCCACCTCTGCCCGGGTAATCCACGAGCAGGAACAGGACCATCCCTGCAGGAGCCTCCCCTGGAAGTCACCTTGTGGGGGCTCCTTAAGGCTGGGACCCGCAGGCTGGGGCATCCTGTCTTGGGAAACACGTAGCACGCACAGTCCCTGGTCACCACCGTAACTGCTACCCTGAACTGCCAGTGGTGCCGAGTTATTAAAATACCCCAACACAGGGCGCCTGGGTGGCTCAGTCGTTGAGCGTCTGCCTTCGGCTCAGGTCATGGTCCCAGGGTCCTGGGATCGAGCCCCGCATCGGGCTCCCTGCTCCACGGGAAGCCTGCTTCTCCCTCTGCCACTCCCCCTGCTTGTGTTCCCTCTCTCGCTGTGTCTCTCTCTCTCTGTCAAATAAATAAATAAATAAAAATCTAAAAAAAAACCCAAAAAACAAAACAGGGGCACCTGGGTGGCTCAGTCGTTGAGCGTCTGCCTTCGGCTCAGGTCATGGTCCCAGGGTCCTGGGATCGAGCCCCCGCATCGGACTCCCTGCTCAGCGGGGAGCCTGCTCCTCCCTCTCCCACTCCCCCTGCCTGTGTTCCTGCTCTCGCTATCTCTCTCTCTCTGTCAAATAAATAAATAAAATCTTCAAAAAATATATATATAAAATAAAATACTCCAACACAGTAGGCTGGCTTTCCCTCAGGTCAGGTCCGTAGGAGCCTCTCCGCCACCCTGTGCCACCTCCACGCAGCCTCGGGTTCGGCCATTCGGGGCCGTTCACCCCCAAGCAGCCCACAGGTCTCACGGCACACGAGGGGAAGAAGGGCCAGGCCAGGCTGCTCCTGACCTCCGAGCCCCCGGGAGTTACGGCCGCTGCTGCTTCTGCCGGGGCTCACAGAGCGCGAGGGGGAGGCAGGCAGGCCCCCCATGAAGCCCTCATGGTACGGGGTCGGCAGGGCCCTCCACCTGGGGAGGGCTGGTGCCAGGCCGACTCCCCGTGGAAAGAGCAGGTCGTCCGGTGACAGGGTCTCACCGTAGCCCACGAACATCAGATGTGGCCAAGCTGTGACACTGTTCTCTCTCTTCCAGTTATTGTGAACCCACAGACTGTCCTCCGGGTAAACACCATCGAGATCGCTCCACGTTTGTGCTGATTGTGAAGCTCATGTTTACAGTATATAAAAATAAACTTTTCTGGAGGCCGTGTTTCTGAGTTATGATATAAAAAGCTTTGCGTTCCCGTGACAGATTGTTCTAACTTGAGCACCATGTCTGTGAGCTTAGTTTTGTCAGCAAAAGCCTCCCTGAGCCAGAGAAGCCTGGAATTTGGGAAGAATGACAAGCACGGCCGTCCCAAGCTGCAGACTGGAGGCTTGTTGAGGAGATAAGGTTGTGTTCTTGGCTGCCCTCCACCCCACCGAAGGCGGCAGGGCCCAAGGGCATGGTGTGGGGGCGCAGCTGGGACCCGGGAGCTAACGCCAAGAGAGACACGATCTGGATTCTGCTTCTGGCAAGGTGGACAAAGCCTGAGCAAACCCCATCTCTTGAGTGTACCTGTTGCTAGTGATTTGCTCATTTAAGGAGCTGGGATTCAAACCAGTCTGGGCCCAGAGTCCTTACTCTTGTCCTTTGCTCTTGGTCCAGCAGGGAAGGAGGGTCGCGGTGCAGGGGCTGATGCTGTGACCACAGGCAGCACAGGCAGGACGGGGAAGGATGGGCAGCGGGGGTGGAGAGCCGGGGCTGCGTGATGTTCGGGGAACTGGGTGTGAAGGGACAGTAGCAGAGACGGCAGAGGCATTGTGGAGTGGATCCTAAAGGCAGCCACCTGTCCCGGGAGGCTTTGGGGCTGCCCAGATCTGTGTGGGGTCAGTCAGGCAAGGAGGGACAACAGGTCCTGAGCCCTGAGGTCAGGGAACGGGGGAGTGGGTTGGGGACGAGGGGCTCTCTGACTGCAAGGCCCTCCGAGCTGTGTCATTCCCAGAGGTAGGGCCTTCCTCCCAGAGAATAGTTAGGGCTTGTGAGCCGCACAGTAAAACCTGTGGAACCGTAGTGCATGCTTTCTTCTGCAGGAGTCCTTGGAGAGTCGCGTGGGGTGTCGTGGGGTCGGCCCTGCCTTGTGGAAATGAAGACAGTAGAGCGGGCGCGGCCCCTGGAGACACTCCCCCTGAAGTGCCCTCCGTGGACGGCAGGGGGCGCAGTCCCACAGGACGAGGACACCCGAGTGGGCTGTGACGCGGGGGTGTGAGGGGTGGTGGGACCCAGTCTGGGAACGTGGAGTGCTCTCCACTAAGGCCACGCCACGAACTTCTGCGGACATCCCTCATGCTGACAGGAATCACCTTCCATGTTCTCTGCCTTTGGCACATCCATATGCTGGAAACATCCAGTAGGTTCTGGAAAGCCTGCTCAGGCCAGCAGTACAGCTCTGGGCCGTGAGGTGGTTCTGGAGCCACAGACGTGGGTGTGAACCCCAGACCCGTGCACCCTGGGCCTCGACTGCCTCCCCTGTCAAATGGGGGAGATCCCAGTACCCGCTTCCCTAGACCGCCGTGAGGACTCCGGTGATGTGCTGGGTCACTATTCACCATGCATATTACCCATAAAGAGGCAGAACCTCTGCTCTGGGGAACTGGGTGATGTGCCTTCAGGGTTGAGCTCGTGAACGTTTACTGCTTTTAAAAAATGGACTAGGCTTGGGGCACCTGGGTGGCTTAGTTAAGCATCCGGACTCTTGATTTTGGCTCAGGTCATGATCTCAGGGTCATGGATTTGAGCCCCATGTTGGGCTCCACGCTCACTGGGGAGTCTGCTTGTTCCTCGCCCTCTGTTTCCCCGACTCCTGTGCTCGCTCGCTCACTCTGTCGCACGTGCACGCTCTCTCAAATAGGCTTTTTTTCATTCTTTTTTTTTTTATTAAAGATTTGATTCATTTGAGACACAGAGATACAGAGAGAGAGAGCATGAGCAGGGACAGAGACAGAGAGGGAAGCAGGCTCCCCGCCAAGCCAGGAGCCCGACGTGGAGCTCGATCTCAGGACCCTGGGATCATGACCTGAGCCGAAGGCAGACGCTTAACCATCTGAGCCACCCAGGTGCCCCTCAAATAAATAAAGTCTTTAAAAAAGAAACCTGGACTAGGCTTTTTCACAATAGCCAAAATGCAGAAGGAACTCACTGTCAGCAGGTGGGTGGAGAAACGTAGGTGGCCCTTTGTTCAGTGGGATGTTGTTCAGCCTCGAAGATGATGAAACCCTGAGCGGCCTCCGCCTGAATGAACCTTGAGCACGTGACCCTGAGTGAAAGAAGTCGGTTGCAAAAGGACACGTATTGTGTGATTGCACTTGTGTGAAATACCTAGAATTTGCAAATCCACAGAGAAAGTAGGAGAGAGGTCCCTAGGGGAGGCAAGCACTGGGGAAGAGGTAGCTATTGCTTGATGTTGGAGGTCATGGAAAAGTGTGCATGTAGATGGGGGTGATGGTAGGCACAACATTGGGAATATCATTAATGCCACTGGGTTGTCACTTAAAAATGGTTAGGATGAGGGGTGCCCGGGTGGCTCAGTCAGTTGAGTGGCCGACTCTTGGTTTCGGCTCAGGTTGTGATCTCAGGGTTGTGGGATCGAGTCCCATGTCGGGCTTCATGCTCAGCACACAGAGTCTGCTTGAGATTCTCTCTCTCCCTCTCCCTCTTTCCCTCCCTCTCCCCACCTCCTCTTTTTCTCTCTCTCTCCCAAAAAAATGGTTAAGGTAGTAAATCCTCTGTGAGGTCGATTATACCACAGTAAAAAAAAAGGAGGGGGGACCTGGATTAGGTTAATGACATCACTTGACTTAAAAAAGAAAAATGACCCACATCTGTATTTTTGCAGAGTATGAACGTCGGCTCTTCCCGACACAGCTGCGCTGTTCTGGCAGCAGATGGCGGACACGCGGCCCAGGCTTGGCAGGACGCTCTGGCCTGCACCCCTGCTTTGTCCACATCCTGCTGCCTCCCACCTCATCCAGGCCAGCTTCCTGTCCTCTTTTGCACAGGGACACTTTGCTGTTCCAGTAATAGCGTGGACTTCACCCAGGGCCTCCAAGCCCCTGCCTGCCTCACCTCCTGTTAACCCAGCCCCCCTGCACAGCGGCACCCACCTTGGCCTGGCCCTCTCTGAGCACTGCCCCTCGACCTGGTGCCCCAGGGTGCCCCCCTGGCCTGCAGAGCTCGCTCACCCTCTCCAGGCCACTGCGAGACCTCCCGGCTGATCCCAGCAGGTCCCGGGAGCGCAGGGGGTGGGGTGTTAGGCATTGTAAGGAGAGCATGGCAAATGGACCGTGGGAGGCAGGCCAGCCCAGGGGTTAGGCACAAGGGCTAGGAGTCCCCTCCGTCACTGACCCGCATGCCTGGCTGCTAATGGATCTGAGTCGCCAGCTCGGATGGGGCTGCCGGGCCATCCCATGTCAGGAGGACCCTTCCCCGGGTCACTGTCTGCTCCTTGCCTTCTTCCTGGGGTCAGCACATGCGTATTTATTTGTCCCAGGTTTCTGGCTGGGCTCCCTCCCTCACTGGACGGCCAGCCCCAAGACGAGGGTGAAATTCTGTTCGGCTCACTAGCGAGGCTGATGACCTGGGGGTTTTGTGGAAGACATTGAGTCCAGTGTCTACCGGAAGCAGGGTCAGACAAAGCTCTAGAAGCATTAAAGATGTAAATTGTACAGGTGGGACTCAGCGATGGAGGGCTGCTCCCTCCGTTTGCATGTGGCTCCCGGGAGCCCCCAGGAAGTGTGGCTGCCACACTGACCTTTCCTCCCGACATCGCCACACCCCGGGCCGAGGGCCACTTCCGCGCAGGGACACATCGTCACCTGTCTCTAGGAGAGAATTGCCCCACCTGGAAGGCTGGGTGCACTTTGACCTGCTTCCTGTGCTGCAACACTGCGGGGACTGGAGACGCCTAATGTCCCCTAAACGCGCCGCCTGGGTTTCTTCTCCCTTTGCTCCCGCGGAAGGCGGCCGGGAGACGCGGCGCCCCCTTCTCCGCCCACCCGAGGGTTCGAGGCTCCATGTGCGGCACAGAATGGCGAGGTGGGGGTCTTGCCCTGCCCCCCGGGCCCCTAACCAAACTTCAGGGCCAGCAGAGCCTACCAGATTGTCTCCGGGAGTGGTCTCTGAGGGACAGAGCACGGCATCAAGGATCATTTTATTTTATTTTATTTTTAATTAACATATAATGTATTACTGGTTTCAGAGGTAGAGGTCAGTGATTCATCAGTCTTACATCACACCCAGTGCTCATGACATCATGTGTCCTCTCTCATGCCCTTCACACAGTGACCCCAGCCCCCCACGCCCCGCCCCTCCAGCAGCCCTCAGTGTGCTTCCTATGATTAAGAGTCTCTTATGGTTTGTCTCCCTCCCAGTTTCATCTTGTTTTATTTTTTCCTCTTTTCCCCCATGATTGTACTCTGTTTTGTTTCTTAAATTCCGCATATGAGTGAGATCACATGATAACTGTCTTTTCGAGGGGGGTTCCTGAGTCGTTCAGAGCAGAGAGCCTGTCGGCCGGAGAAGTCGGCCTCCGAGCCCCGAGTGGGCTCAGGAGACTCCTCGGTGTCCTGTCTGTGACAGGGGGATAGGCACGGTGCCCGCCTGGCCTCGCGCCTGTGCCTGTGCAGGGGGGAAACATCGTCACTGTCACGGCGGTGGCTAATTGCGGGTGCACACGGTGCGCCCAGTGTCGGGCCTTCCAGAAGAGTTCTCCCGGGATGCTGCAGTGCATGCAAATGGGAGCTCCTGACGTGCCTGCCCCTTCGAGGGAAGACTCTACGGAATTGTCGAGCCCAGACTTTGAGAAGAAACTGGCATTTCCACTAGTAAGGAATGTTTTCCTTGAGAAAACCTTCTAAGTCTCTGAAGGCACCAAAGGGAAACTGTTCTCTTGAACAGCCTGAGGCTGAACCTGGGAGCCAAGTGTGTCTTCTGATGGTCCCCCCTTCTGCCAACACCCCCAGGCCCCTCCTCCATCTGCTGCTGGAACTTTCTGGAGCTCACCTAAGGCGTGCAGAGTTCTCTTGCCCAGAATGTTTGGACTGGGATAAAAAGTCCTAGGGCGGCTCTGTCGGTTAAGCGTCTCAGCTCAGGTCATGATCTCAGGGTCATGAGTTCAAGCCCCACACTGGGCTCCACGCTGGGCTGTGGAGCCTACTTAAAAAACAAA